CATTGAGGGGACTGAAGACCCCCTAGAGTTGGGGCGCCTGCCTGCTGTTGAGGATTCCATTCTGCTCAGTTGGACTGTGTGTGTTTGCTCGCTAGGTGGCAAATGGAGGATCCAGACCTGCTGCCTGCAGGGGTCTGTTGGGCCAAAGCATTCCCTGCCATTCGACATTAGCCCCTGCCCAATTGATTCAGGGCCAGATCCAGCCTGGGTGCTAAGAACACAGGATCAGGCCAATAACCCATCTAGTCCAGAATCCTGTTCTCACAGTGGCCAACTAGATGTCTGTGGGAAATCCGCAAGCAGGACTTGAGCACAACAACTCGCTTCTTCCATACCCTCCAACATTTCTCCAATGAAAATAAGGACATCCTATTGTTGTTGTTGTTGTTGTTGTTGTTGTTGTTGTTGTCGGGGGTGATTTGGGGCATTGGATAGGGTTAGGCTGTGCCCAGCACTAGCACACAACTCTTTTCCTTCCACATCCCTCAAAGCGAACCACCCCTCGGATATAGATGAGACACAGTACAGGAGAGGGCAGAAAGGCGCATTTGTGTGCTCTGTGAATGCATGTGAGAATGTGCGTGAACCACTATGGGGGGCCAGAACCCACCCACTGGCACACGGACTTCAGAGGGCTGGCCAACTCCCCCAGCAACTCCAAAAGAAAGTTGGGCACCACTGCTTTGGGGGAGGTGTTTTGTTATATATCTTTTAACGTTCGAATGTATTAGGGTATGTGGTTTCCCCTCACTAACTTCTAAGATGGTATGCAGTTCGTTCTACTGCCTTGGGACTTCATTACCACATTACTTCCTCCTTCTGCCTTGTCTGTAGAGCCAGCCCTAAATAGCTTTCTGGGAGCATCACAGATCCGCTGCCTCAGAGTCAGCATTTACCAGTCAGCAACTTCTGCAACCCAGTGAAGGTTGCTAAGAGCTCCCAGACCCACTTCCTAATTAGCAGAGAAGCAGGCGGCTGGAGGAAGTGTTTGCTTATGAATCGCATTCTGCTGGGCTGATGTTCCAGTGGACATCCCATGGCATATTACAAAGAGAGGCAGTGTGGTGTAGTGTTTAGTGGACTGGAAGAAGCAAAGATCACCAGTATCGAAGCAATTATTCTTCAATATGAACTTCGTTGGACTGGCTATGTTGTGTGGATTCCAGATTACGGTCTCCCAAAGCAACTACAGTGGCACCTTGGGTTACAGACCCTTCAGGTTACAGATGCTTCAGGTTATAGACTCCGCTAACCCAGAAATAGTAACTTGGGTTAAGAACTTTGTTTCAGGATGAGAACAGAAATCATGCTCTGGCGGCGTGGCGGCAGTGGGAGGCCCCATTAGCTAAAGTGGTACCTCAGGTTAAGAACAGTTTCAGGTTAAGAATGGACCTCCAGAACGAATTATGTTCTTAACCCGAGGTACCACTGTACTCTATTCCGAATTTAAAAATGGAAAGTGCAATGCTGGTGATCAACAAAAGAGGTTTTAAGACTCTCTCAAGGTAAATCTAAACAAATGTAGTATAAACACTAGCAACTGGGAAAACACTGGCCTGTAAGCATTCCAATTGGAGAACAGCCTTTACCAAAGGTATCTTGGACTTTGAAGATGCTCGAACTCAGGATGAAAGGGAGAAATGTGCTAAGAGGAAGGCACGCATGGTGAACCCTCACCGTGATCAACTACCGCCCGGAAACCTATGTCCCCACTGTGGAAGGACTTGTGGATCCAGAATTGGCCTCCACAGTCACTTACGGACTCACTGTTAAAACTGTGTTTATGGAAGCCAGTGTGGTGTAGTGGTTAAGAGCGGTGGATTCGTAATCTGGGGAACTGTGTTCACTTCCTCGCTCCTCCACATGCAGCTGCTGGGTGACCTTGGGCTAGTCACACTTCTCTGAAGTCTCTCAGCCCCACTCACCTCACAGAGTGTTTGTTGTGGGGGAGGAAGGGAAAGGAGATGTTAGCCGCTTTGAGGCTCCTTCGGGTAGTGGGATATCAAATCCAAACTCTTCTTCTTCTTCTTCTTACTCGGCTACAAGTGATCACCAAAGAAGAAAGAAGAAGAAGAGTGTCAGAGTCAGACCTGAGAGATCAGGGTTCAAATAGCCACTTTGCCATGATGCTCACTGGGTGACTTTAGGCCAGTCACTCACTCCTCATGTAAGCTACATCACAGGGTAGTTGTAAGGATTAAACGGGGGGGGGGGGGAGAAACCATGTACAATACCTTGAGCTCTTTGGAGGAAATGTGGAAAAACAAACAAACAAACTGGATAGATTATTTCCACCTCACACTCTATGCAGGAAGTCATGTCCAATGCTACTTTACATCTTCTATCTGCATATTTTGGTTCTTCTGAAGCTCACCTAAATATCAGTAGTTTTCCTCTTGAGTAGATACTTCCAGGAAGCAGAAACAGCCCTGCAAAGGTCAGAAACGAGAGGTGTTGCTTAGGGATAGGGGATGAATCTGATTTGGTTTCCATTTTAACACACGTTTAACTGATTCACACTTCCAGAAACTTTCTGATAACAGGAACGTTGTTTACCCTTTGAAATTCACACTTCTCCGAAATTTGTGATGTGGTTCTCTGGCAAAAAAAAAGAAGTATGCACAATAATGCATATCTCTGGTAAAAAAAAAAAATTGCATACATGACATAAAATAGAAATGCATTGTTTCAGCGAAAATTGAGGCCCATAATATGGTATACTAGAGAAATACTGTTCAGAGATGTCAGAAGCTTGCCCTGCCATAAATCAGAGCAGGGCCTTTGCTGTGGCTGCCCCTGTTCCGTGGAATAGCATTCCTGTTGGGGTACAGAAGGCCCCTTCTGCCAACACTTTCTGCACAAAGTTGAAAACATTTTTGTTTCGATGGGCTTTCCCAGCTGGATGAAAAGTCTCCTGTTTTCCGTGTTGTGGTTGACTCTTTTTAAGCTGTTTTTTTTAAAAGGTATAAATCACCTTGAGAGTCATGCAGAAGACGACAAAAAGGTAAATGGATGTGTATGTGTGTGAGAGAAGGGGGGTGGTGTAGTGGTTAGAGTGGCGGACTAGAACCTAGAGGATCAGGGTTCAAATCCTCGTTTGACAATGCAGCTCACTGTGTGACCCTTGGCCCAGCCACTACCTCTCTCAGGGTTGTTGTGGGAATTAAACAAGGAAGGGCAAGGAACCATGTATGCCATCTTGATCCCCTTGAAGGGAAAAAGGGGGTGTAAATGCAATAGTTAGATTCCCAAATGCCGATAAATTTCTCTGAGGATTTTTTTTAAAAAATAAAAAATAAATCACATACTGATACAGATGCATGGAGGATGTAAGACTGAAAAAGTGGCAGAAACCAGAACTGACAGCTTCATCGATCCCTGGTTTCCGTACACACTATCACTGTTACCTCTGCCATGAATATAACCAGCGGAGAAGGCAATGACCTAAGAGGAATGTAGTTGTCTGTTGTCTGCATGATGCTCCAATCTAGTTTGGCTTGTTTCCAGTCAGGGTGTGTGGTGTGTGTGTGTGTGTGTGTGTGTGTGTGTGTGTGTGTTTCACAGAAGCAATTTTGCAACATCTCTGCACCAGCAGAGCTTGGATCATCCACTCCATGGCTGTGTTGGCTGGGGCTGATGGGAGTTGTAGTCCAACCCATCTGGATGGCAGCAGGTTGTCTTAGCAGTGGAAATATTCAAGAAACTTTTTAAGAACAGAAGAAGTGCCTGCTGAATCAGGTCAAAGAGGGGGCCCATCTAGTCCAGCATCTCATGTCCAGCCCATAGCTGTCAACTTACAGATTTGAAAATAAGGGAACCAGCAGCCTCGAAAAAAAGGGATCAGCAGCCAAAATAAGGGATTTTCCAGGCACAGGTATCTTCAACTTCTGAGCCCCTCCGAGCCAAAGGCAGAAAGCCCAGCCAGCAGCCAAACGAAGCCTCAAGCGGTGGTTCCCACAGCACAGCAACCCGGCGAAGGGGATGCAGCAAGGAAAACCACCGTCACCTCTCCGCTGGGAAGCGCTGAGCAAAGGCGAGTCCCCAGGCAAGGTGGCCGATTTGATCAGCACAAGGCATGCAAGCTCCACCTCCCAGTCGTTCTTAGACTCCTTATTGGGTGAGCAATGCAGCCAAGCAACACAGTTGGAGCCTCCCTCCTCCCTGGCCGGCAGGGAGGGAAGGAGAGGAGCTGCTTCCTTTGAAACCCGAGAAATTTAAGGGACATCATCAATAAGGGACAGCAGTGGGACACGGCGCTGGGATAAGGGAGTTTCCCGCCAAATAAGGGACGGTTGACAGCTATGGTCCAGCCAGATGCTTGCAGGAAAACCCACAAGCGCAGGACCTGAACACAAAAGCTCTCTCCTGTGTCTTCCAGAAACGGGCATTCGGAGAGTCGCTGCCTCCAATATGTTCAGACTCCAAAGGTGATTAGCTCTTCTGCGAAAGCTGCAAATCCTAGCGCGTCAACTCTGCATATTTTGACACAAGAAAATCCCCCAGACCTGCCAAAAGACGTGACTCAGCTACACAACACATGAGTATATAAATATTCAGCAGACAGCACACTGAACACACACCTCTTCCCAATTTCCCCCTTTCCCCCAACAACTCCTGTCAATCCTCAAGGTTTCATTCTTATTTTCTGCTCTCCTCGCTTGGCTTGGGGCCTGGTTTATACATCCTTTTTCTATTCTGGGCCATCTGAAATATGTATGATGCTAGGAGAGACTGCAGGGAGCTTGTGAGAGGAGGGGAACCGTACCATTAATGCAATGGGTTTCGTGCGATGAAATCCTTTGTTGCTGCCAATTAGAGATTGCATAATGGCGAGCTCCATGCCTTATTCATCACCTCCCTTCCAGCTGACAGCCCGCCTCAGGTGGTGACTGCAAGAGCTAAAATCTAAAAAAGGGAGAACCCCAGGATTGACATACGTGAGACATTTGTCTGTTTGCACATCTCTGCGTGTGCAGAGGACACCGTAAAGGGGGCAAAAAAAAAGAAAAGAAAACCTTTATTTCATATCTTTTTTGTCATTGTTGAACTTGTACACAAGTAAAATAAAATGCATATCTTTTATATATATATATATATAATTTATATATATACTGCAGTCTCGAGGGGATGAAAAGGGATGCATTCTTTAACAAATGCCCCTGTAAACATGGCGGAATAATGAAGGTGGAAAGATGGTTAAATTGCAGGAATCGGAAATGCAGGAGCCGCAATGAAATCGTTGTGTCACCTCTTCAAATGGTAGGGGGGTACCAGTATTTGCAACATCATTCAAGGATGGTTTCAAATTACAAGTAACACTTTGGAAAACATTTTGAAAATGGCGTATTTGCATCTTTTATTTTTTTTCTATTTTATTTTATTTTTTTCCATAGGTAAATCTTTCTCTCTTTTTTTCCTTATTAACCATCAGCTGTGGCTATAGACTCTCATGGGCAAGTGCAGTTCCAAGGACGAAAAAATAATAATAATAATAATTAAAAATTAAAACACATAAATTTCAGGAGGAACAAATAAATTATGTACAACGTTTTGTTTTTATAAAGGCATCCAGTTAACTTGTAGTGTAACCAAGTTTTGTTTTTGTTTTGTATTTCCCCCCCCCCCCCTCTGGGCTTAACTTTCTTCTTGTTTGTGGAAGTGATTTTATGTTTTTATTTTTTTAATGGTTTTATATATTTTTTTAAGCAAAAGTCCTGGGATTAAAGTATCACTCCTCGAGGAAAGGGGTGGGAGGGAAACAAGAGACATGTTGCTGTTGTTTCAACAGGACCAGAATAGACTCCACACCAACAGGGTGATCGATAGGCTGGGGATTAGCCGTGAGGTGGTACTTTGCGTGGGCTGAGCTATGCGACACTGTGACCTGGATTTGTTCTTTTTCGAACACCCCTGCCTCCTTTTGGTTGGGACTGTCGAAGGTTCGATGGGGCCTAGGAACTCAGGTTTCAAATTGGTCAGTGGAGGGTCCACTGCACTGGGGAAGGTCCCAAAGGGGGAGTCATTGATCTGTTTGTTGCTGCTGTTTTTAGAGGGGTCCGTCTCCACCTGGGGCTTAGTTTTGGCGATGTTTTCCTTATCCTTGAGGGGGTTGTTGGAGGAGGCCCGGCTGCTGTGGGAAGACGGGCCTGCCTTGGCTTTGGCTTCATAAATAAAAGACTTATCCATCTCCGGCTGGCAGCATTTCCGCCCGCCATCGTGGGGGCTTAGAGGAGGGTCGGCGGTTGGCAATTTGCCAGTCCTGGTCTTAGTGCTAAAGACGCTTGTTCTGATCTGGTTGAAAGAGTCGACGCATCCCTCCAGGTCGGCGCTCTGCAGCCGTTTGAGGTCCCTCCCTGCCAGGTGAGCGGGCAGGTGGCACTCGAGTTCTGAAGAAGACCCTTTGAACTGCTTGAACCAATCCCAGAGCGACCGGGCTTGGCAGTCGCAAACCCATTGGTTGCCGTTCAAGCGGAGATACTGGAGGGAGACCAAGGGAGCCATCGTCTCTCCCGTCAGCACCGTCAGGTTGTTATTGAAAAGGTACAAGGTCATCACTTTGCCCAGGTCGTGGAAAGCCCTGCGGTGGATCACACTGACCCGGTTCTGGTGCAAGAGGAGCCGGTCCAGGTTGATCAACCCCCGGAACACGTTTTCCGACAAACTCTTTATTCTGTTCCCGTGCAAAAACAGATAGGTGAGGTTAGCAAGATCCAGAAAGGTGTCGTCCAGGAGGTTCTGCAGGCTGTTGTCCTGCAGGTAGAGATACTGCAGAGAGAAGAGCCCCCGGAAGAGCCCCGTGGAGAGCTCCAGGAGGCCACAACGGTCAAGGTGCAAGGTATGGAGGTGGACAAGGCCTTGGAAGGTGGAAGGGTTGATGGACCTCAGGTTGGTGTTGTCGCTGAGGTCCAGCTCCTCCAACTTGTCGAGCCCGTAGAATGCCCCGGGTTCGATCAGGCTGATGTTGTTGGAATGGATCCAGAGGATGGACATGTTCCGGCAGGAAGTGAAGCTGGTGGAACGGATCACGGTGATCTTGTTGCTGTGGAGGAAGATACGCTGAGTCTGGATGGGGATTTCGGTGGGGATGGCTCCAAGTCCTTGCTGTTGGCAGCTGATGGTGATCTTGGGTTCGCTGTAGCATACGCAAGCCCCTGGGCAGGATTCCGCTTCCGACGGGAAGTTCAAGCACAGCACCAAAATTAGCAGTTTGCTTCCTGGAGGAACAGCCATGGGGGGGGGGAGGGGAAAAAGAAGAAGAAGAGAGAATGATATGCAAATTAGATCATTAGCACCTTCCTTTCCAGCATCCCCTACATTAGCTCAAAATGCACCTTTGGAAAATTCATTAACTGCACAACCTTGGCGAACACGCATGACCTTGATGAAAACACAGGCATTTCTTTTGTTCCACCAGCCTGAGAACCAGCTCAAGGAATGGAAGGAATAAGGCTTAGCAGAGGAGCTCATTGTATCCTTTCCCTTGCCCCCCAGTCCTAGCCTGATTTGGGTCAAAAGTAGATTTGGGGCAGCGGGGAGAGAGAACAATGAGAAAGAAAAGCAGTTCAGGTAGGCCGCATCCACACCATAGCAGTATCATACTGCTTTAAACAGTCATGGCTTCCAACAAGGAATCTTGGCAGCTGTAGTTTGTTATGGGTACTGAGAGACATTAGGAGACCTCCATGTCTCCCCACCAAGAAGTTCTCAGAGCTGTTTAACCATCAATCTTTCTTCCCAGAGAACTCTGGAAACCGTAGTTTGGTAAGGTGAGATATAAGTTAACCAAAAGCAGCTAAAAGCACAAACACAGCCAACACATTTAAAAACAGATTTTAACCCTAAGAAGTGGACACATGGGAACCATCCCATGACACGACAAAAAGGTCTTCAGTTGTTCCTGGAAAGTGCAGATAGTGGCCACCTGTTGCATCTCAACAGCAATGTTATTCTGTGGAATGGGACAGCCACACTGAAGGCCCTGCTCCTCTGAGTTACTGTATAGGGGACTTCTGAGATCTTTGGAACTGACAGGAGAAACTCTCCCACAGACAGCAGTAATCTACTGGGTGCATAAGAGATAAGGTGGCATTAGATTAGTTTACCTGCGAGGTCACCTAACGTCTCCCATGCCCACTCAAACACTTCATTCTGTGGAACTGGCAGGATCCACATGGAAGAACTTGGTCTTTTAGTGTGGCAGTGTCCGCACTCTGGAACTGCCTATTGATATCAGACATTCACCTTCGTTGCATTCTTTTCAGCACCTGCTAAAACCATTTTTGTTTAGACCAGCCTACCCAGATAACTAGAATATCTCAAATGCTGATGTGTGTTTTAATCTTTTCTTTTTGTTTATAGCTGGGTTAATAATAATAATAATAATAATGTTTCAGATTGTTGTTAACTGTTTTGCTGTTTTATTCTATTCACTTTGAGGTTTGTTTGTTTGTTTGTTTACAATCAAGCAAGGCATAAATTTTATGGAATAGATAGATCCCGTTATGTGTATTTTACTGGTGAATGCATTGAAAAGTGCGGGTTTACGTATAATTATTTTTAAGTGCATATTTTATTTTATGTAGAACTGGCACTGTTGCAGGTGCCATGCTGTATCCATTCTGCATCTATAAGAAATTGATATTTTAGTGTGGCGTCACCCACACTTTGAAATGCCCTGAGTCTTCACTGTACTCTTTTCAGCCCACGTTAAAAACGTTTTTGTTCAAACAAGCCCACTCAGATTCTAGAATGCTGGAGTGTTTTTAGTTTATTGCTGCTTTTATTTTTATTTTATTTTTATAAAAAAAAATGCTTCAGTTGTTTTTACTAATAATTTCATTGCTTCATTCTTTTTGTAAACTGCTTCAGTAAACTGCTACTATCAGGTGGTATATGAATACTGCGAAACAAACAGACACATAAAATGCAAAAAGTGCTTGCAAAATGTGTACCAAAAGCCTATGGCAGGACGTAATGCAGCAGGGCAGGGCGCAACAAACTACTGACTGCCAGTGAAATTGTAGGTGGGGCAAGGGCACAGCTCAACTCGTGCGCTCCTTTTTGGCAGACAGCTCTGCAGCAGGTGTGACTTTCACCTTGGCTTGGTGTGACCCAGATCTCCAGATGCCTGTCCAATTTGTCCAGCTCTCTCTCTCTCTCTCGTTGCCTCAGCCGACCCGGCTCTCTCAACTCAGTGACTGAGCTGTGACTTTGCATTAAAGCATAATGAGGCATCAGAATGCATGAGCATCCTTCGCAAAGGAGGATGACTCTTTTCCCGAAGACGCGCAAGCCGAGAAAGGGGTCCTGAGGCTTGGACTTCCCCAGATGATGGGATGGGTTGCTGGGCAATTCCTCCAAATGGAGGGAGTGCAGGTCAAATCTGACAGGGATTCCTGGTGCCTCTTCAAAATGTGGATGGACCAGATTGGCAGAGACAATTCATAATGATGTGGGGTTTTTTTAATATATATATATTATTAAAGATTTCTTGGTTTATTTTCAAGCTACGTTTTTCTACAAATCAGTTTCATTTGCTGTGAGACATTAATGTTACATTAGGAAGAAAAGGGGGAAGGAGGTGGGAATGGTGAGTGGGGTGGGGTGGGAATGCTTCTATTCTTCTTGGTGTATGTGTGGGGTTTTGTGTCAGCGTCACTTGTGTGGGTTCTCTTTACTATTTGCTTGTATTCCTTTAGTGGTGAAAGAGGTTGGGGTTGGTTTAGGGTGTGGTTGTTTGTTTGTGATTGGCTGTGGTGAACTTTGTTTTCATGTGTGAGTGGTGTGTGTGTTTGGATCATGTTAGCCAGATTAATTCGAATTCTGTTGGCGGGTTCTTGTTATTGTCTTGTTGGGTGTGTATGTGATAAAGAGGAACCATACCAGGGTGAAGGAGTCTTCTTCTATTTGTCCCCTTGTCAGTTTCAGTTTGTTGGTTAGTTTTTCTAATCCAGCTGTTTCCCATACCATTTGATACCATTGGTCCATGCTTACTCCTGACAGGTCTCTCCAGTGTCTGGCTATGATGTTTCTGGCTGCTGAGAGTAGGTGGGTTATGAGCTCTTTGTGTTGTGAGTAGGCATTATTGTCTTGGAAGATGTTTAGTAGGGCCAGTTCTGGGGTGACTTCTAATACTTGCTTAGTTATTTTGCATATTTCTTGTATGGTTGGTGTCCAGAAGAGTTGGATTTTAGGACATTCCCACCACATGTGGAGGTATGTGCCTGTGGAGGTGCATCCTCTCCAGCATTTTGGTGAGGTTCCTGGGCATATTAGTGTTAGTTTCCATGGTTTAGGTTGAGGGCGAATCTTTGTCTAAAATGATTTGTTTTAATTATGCATTAGGTACTGTGTACTACAAGGGACGCGGGTGGCACTGTGGGTTAAACCACAGAGCCTAGGACTTGCCGATCAGAAGGTCGGCGGTTCGAATCCCCATGATGGGGTGAGCTCCCGTTGCTCGGTCCCTGCTCCTGTCCACCTAGCAGTTTGAAAGCACGTCAAAGTGCAAGTAGATAAATAGGTACCGCTCCAGTGGGAAGGTAAACAGTGTTGCCGTGCACTGCTCTGGTTCGCCAGAAGTGGCTTAGTCATGCTGGCCACATGACCCAGAAGCTGTACGCCGGCTCCCTCAGCCAATAAAGCGAGATGAGCGCCGCAACCCCAGAGTCAGCCACAACTGGACCTAATGATCAGGGGTCCCTTTACCTTTACTGTGTACTACAGTAGAGAGCTGGGCCATAAGAAGGCTGGTCGCCGAAGAATTGATGCTTTTGAATTATGGTGCTGGAGGAGACTCTTGAGAGTCCCATGGACTGCAAGAAGATCAAACATCTCCATTCTTAAAGAAATCAGCCCTGAGTGCTCACTGGAAGGACAGATTCTGAAGCTGAGGCTCCAATACTTTGGCCACCTCATGAGAAGAGAAGACTCCCTGGAAAAGACCCTGAGGTTGGTTGAGGGCACAAGGAGAAGGGGACAACAGAGGACGAGATGGTTGGGCAGTGTTCTCGAAGCTACTAACATGAGTTTGACCAAACTGCGGGAGGCAGTGGAAGACAGGAGTGCCTGGCGTGCTCTGGTCCATGGGGTCACAAAGAGTCGGACATGACTGAACAACAAAAATCCCCAGCCTCACACACACACTCTTTCTCCTCTTCTCTTTCTTTTCTTTCTCCTCCCTCCTCTCCTCTCCGCTCCTCTCCTCTTCCTTTCTTTAGGTTTTCCTTTTTCTTGTCTTTACTCCTTCCTGCCTTTGTTCTAGACTAAGTAGCTGTTAGTATATTGTAAAAAGACACTTTGCAACGGCCATGCATTTTTGTATATCTCTGAATAAGGATCAATAAATAAATTTACAAAACAAAAAAGACATCGCCAGTCATCATGATCATTGGCATTCTGATCATCTCCCTCTGCTGCTTTGGTTCCTAGGTGATGATTTCGTCCTTGGTCCATCCTCAGGGATGGTTAAGTGGGTGCCAAGGCAAGCAGGCAGCAGAGCCTGTAGCTTAAATAGCCCCACAAACCCCACCCACAGGCCAGCTGGCCTGCAAGCATATTGTCTACCCATATATAGCAAGGCTGGGGAACAATTCTCAGCCTCAGGCCCACATCCCCTCCTGGGCCACCATCCAAGGGTAAGAAGCCATAGCCTCCAACATTCTTCTGATGAAAATTGGGACAGCGCAGCACCAAAAGACACAATATTATCAATAATGATTTATTATTTATCCCCCACCCATAAGGCTGGGTTTCCCCAGCCACTCTAGGTGGCTCCCAACAGAATATTAAAAACACAATCAAACATTTAAAACTTCCCTAAACAGGGCTGCCTTCCGATGTCTTCTAAAAGTCTGATAGTTGTTTATTTCTTTGACATCTGACAGGAGGGCATTCCACAGGGCGGGTGCCACTACTGAGAAGGCCCTCTGCCTGATTCCCTGTAACCTCACTTCTCACAGTGAGGGAACTGCCAGAAAGCCCTTGGAGTTGGACATCAGTTTCTGGGCTGAACAATGCGGGTGGAGACGCTCCTTCAGGTATACTGGGCTGAGGCCGTTTTGGGCTTTCAAGGTCAGTACCAACACTTTGAATTGTGCTCAGAAATGTACTGGGAGCCAATGAGAGTGCAGTACCACCAGAAACACCAGTGATGCCTGCAAGCACCAACTCATCTTGGTCGCATACCAATGTCTGTGCACCCTGCATCAGAAGG